TATATATGTTTTTGTATATTACTATAAAAGTACTTAAAGTATTTTCAGCGAATTTGTATAAAAAGTTACGATTTTTAGCCTTGTAAAGACAAAAAAAAAATTAGATATTTTAAAGTATTTTTTTACTTTTTTTTATTGATTTTCTAGGTTTTTAGGAATTCTAAATGTTTATGTATTTTTCTATTGATATTTCTCTCTCTGATATTGAAGAGAAAAAAAAATGGATAAAAAATTATCATTAAAATTGAAGCATTGATCATTTTTATGATCTATGGTTCAATTTTTTAATAATCAAAAAAAAAATTCCAAATTTTTTTCTTTTAGATGTAGTATTATGCTCGATTTTGTGATTTGTATTTTTTTCAATTTTTTTAAGATGTCCTCACCCAAAAAAGAGTTATCACCGAAACCGACCTTGTATATATATAATATATATAATATGAAAATCATTATAAAATAATTATATAATAATTATGTAATTTTTATAATTTTTTTCAAAAGCAATTTTTTGTAAAGAGAAAAACCCTTAAAACAATGAAAACGGACAACGTATTGCTAGGGTATAAAACTCAGCACCTTTTTGTCTCTGTTCCAGCAGCCACCCTTTCATAGTTTCAGAGTTTCATCTACCAAGACTTTATACCAACACCTGCCCTTATTCTTCTTACTAAAATTCTCCATTCCCTCTTGATTTTCTCACTCAATCCAATCTCTCCTCTTTTTCATCGTAGCACAGACATGGATGTCCAAGGTCAAAGCAAACACACCATCCCATCAGGTTTCTGTTACTTCCTTGCTTTTAACCCACTTTCTAACGTGGGTTTTCTCAAATTCTAATCCTCATTGTTGATTCAACACATTTATAACGCTTATTTCTGGTGGGTTTTTGAAATTACAACTGGGGTTTGTTAATTTTGTTGATTTCTGTAATATGCAGGACATGAGAGTCATGGGGTTTATTTATGTCGTAGATGTGGGTGGCCTTTTCCGAACCCACATCCAAGCGCTAAACACAGGCGATCCCACAAGAAGATCTGTGGAACCATTGACGGTTACACTAATTTAATCCATTCAGAAGTGGTTTCAGATGATGAAAACCATCTTGATGACGATAAAGACAAAACCCCAAGTGAGATTGCATCTTTTATTACAATACTTGTAATTTACGTTTCATAGATTCTGTTTAATTTTTTTTTTCCTTTTAAGGTCCCAAAATTCAGAAGAAGACGAGCATCGGCGGCGTCGGTGGTGCGATTGGCGGAAGTTTCAGTAGATCTGAGGATGAATCGTTTTTAGATGCTGTTACAGAATTCTCCGACACTACAAGTGCAGGATCTGCAAACAAAACTCTGGATAGAGATTTGTTTTTTTCTTTCAAAGATGCTGAACATGGTGGTAAGTATGTGTTTTCACTTTATAATTCGTATAAAATCAAGATTCTTTTCGTAATTGATCAACTACCCCCATTCTCAATTATCGAGAGATTTATCTGCTTTTGTCAGAATCCCAGCCAGAAAATCTAAAAGTGGTCCGTAAATTATATAAATTACAGTGAGAATTTTTTAATTTATGATTTCATACAAACTTCTTTTAACATTCACAAATATCTTTGTATATCAATAGATTTCAAGGTGGATTCATCTGAGGCAAAGTCCGATTTACTTGAAACTAATGGGAAATCTTCTGATGATTTGGTCAAAGATGGAGTTGTTGAACCAACCCTCAAACAAAGTGATGTGTCCCAAGAAGCTCAATTGATTTATGATGTGGGGGCAGGGGTAAAGTTGGAAACAGTAACTTCAGATGGAATTAGTGAAGAAATCAAGCATGAGAAGCTTGAATCTGAATGTGAACCTGTTTCAGAAGTTGTCAAAGAAGCTGAAATTGTTCATGGTGCAGAGAAAATCAATGAAGAAATCAAGCTTGAAAAGTTTGAAATGGAGCATGAACATGCCTCAGAAGCTGTGAAAGAACCTGAAACTGTTCAAAGTGTTTCGGTTTTGACCCAAAAGGAGGATCTTGGTGCACCCGAATGCTCAAAAGAACAAATCTTGGAAGTTGTGAAGGAACCAGATACGGTTTTGACTCAGATCAAGGAACAGATTCAAGAAGTTGTGAAAGAACCTGAATCAGTTTTGACTGAAAAGGATGATCTTTGTGCACCCGAGTCAGAAAAAGAACTCAGCCATGAAGTTGTTGAAGAACCTGAATTGGTTTTGACTGAAAAGGAGGATCTTGGTGCACCCAAGTTGGAAAAAGACTTAAAAGAACAGATTCAGGAAGATTTCAATGAATCCATTGCAATTTTGACTGAAAACAAGGATCTTGTTGCACCAAAGTTGGAAAATTGCTCAACAGAAGAGATTGAGGAAGTTGGCAAGGAGCCTAAATCAGTTTTGATTGAAAAAGAGGATCTTGGTGCTCCTGAATCCGAAACACATTCAAACAAACACACCCATGAAGTTTTTGAAGAACCCGAATCAGTTTTGACTGAAAAAGATGATCTTGGAGCACCAATCTTGGAAAAAACCTCAAAAGAAGACACCTTTGAAGTTGTAGAAGAATCCATCTCTGCTTTGATCAAAAAGGAAGAACGTGAAACACCCAAGTTGGAAAATGGCTCAACAAAGCAGATTCAAGAAAGTGTCAAGGAGCCCGAATCAATTTTGACAGAAAAGCAGGATCTTGATGCACCTGAGTCTGAAAAATGCTCAAATGAACACACCCATGAAGTTGTTGAAGAGCCCAAAACAGTTTTGACTGAAAAAGATGATCTTGGAGCATCAATCTTGGAAAAAAGCTCAAAAGAACGCACCTTTGAAGTTATTGAAGAACCCAACTCAAGTTTGATTGAAAAAGAGGATCTTGGTGCACCCAATTTGGAAAAACACTCAAATGATCACACCCATGAAGTTTTGGAAGAACCCGATACAGTTTTGACTAAAAAAGAGGATCTTGAGGCACAAAACTTGGAAAAACTCCCAAAAGAAGCCACCAAAGAACCAAAAGTTGATGATTGTATTGTTAATGACAAGAATACTTCAGGTGTTGTTTCTGAACCTATCATAGGCAAACTAATAACTAATCAAGATTCTGGTGTTGATTTATCCATAGATTCAAGTAATAGTCTTGAAGGAAATTGGGGATCAGTTTCAGGTATATTTCTTGAATCTTGACTATTATTTCCATTTCTGAATAATGGTCTAATTGTTGTTTTACTTTTTCATAACATGTTCAAAGTCCTCTCAACTGCTTCATTTGATGATAAGCCAAAACTCAACTCTGGGAAGTCAGATAACCATTCGGGCTCATCAGATGTCTTTGAGCCTCCATCTTTCATGACTCTAGTTCAACCTGAAGGCAAAGATCAGAAACAATGTTCATCTGAAGTGCAAGATGCTCAAAAAGCTGGTTGGATCCCAACAATAACCAATGTCAGCAATGAATCAGAAGAGAGAAAGAAGAATGAGGAAGTTATTGCAAAAGTGACAAATTGGAGCACAGGGAAACACTCTGCACCTTTAAAGAATCTGTTAGGTGAAGCCAAATCACCAAGTGTTAAAGATTCGGTGACTGTGGTTCATAAAGATGAAGGTGCAACTGAGAAGATAAACCAGGAGTTGTTGTCATCACCACCAAAGTTGATTGAAGATGGTAAGAAAGCAGGGAAGAAAGTCAAAGGTAGAGGTTTGTGGATGCCATTTGGTTGCTGTTCTTCGGTAAATGTCGTTAACTAATGATGATGATGATGTTGATGATGATGGAAATGTAGTGATGTTGGGCAGTTGGCTAGATCAGCCTTTTATCGGTCTTGTTTGTTGCTAAAACCATTGCTAGTTTTGTGGTTGTATATTTTATATAGTTGATAGATCAAGATTGTTTCGTTAAGTGATATAGAATGGCTGATTTGTAATCATGATTATGTTGCATATTGAATGTTGAATATGGAAATGATTTGAAGATTAAAGATGTAAACCCTCTTAATGTGCTTTGGTTTTTGTTTGAGAAACTTGGTATCACTCATAAAAGAATGATCATTGCAATAATGGGGTCACTCCACCATTGTGGTGAGAAACCTTACATGTATATGTTAGTGGGGAGAGCCCATGTGATAATCCTTACAATGGTGAAAAGAGGGGTATTTGTAGGACCCTAAAGGGGGCCATAAAACATAAAGCATGATGTCAAGTTTCCATCTCAGGAATGGAGTAGGAAGGGATATCATGAACCATGATGTAAAAGAAGGGGAGTAGGAGTAGGAAGGGATATCATGAACCATGATGTAAAAGAAGGGGAGTAGAAAGCATGATGTAAGTTATCTATCTCATGGAAAGAGATTACCCCATTGGACCGAAATAAATGAGTATTTGCATACACATGTGGATCATAGTTCAAATAGTGAAAACTTGTTTATTGATGGTCAAAAATTTTGCAAAGTGTGATGGCTTATATATTAAAACGAAATCCTTCATTTAAGGTATCGTATTTTCCAACAAGGACTCACAAGCGCTAGAGTTCCTCATCTTCATCCTTTATGGTATGAACACAAACTTCATATATCAAAACCAATCCTTACCTAAAACTTAGATAAAATTAATGATATAGTCACATCCAAACACAAACCTCGTAGAGTTTCTCTTCTTCATGTTTCTACCATTTACTCTCTTTAGCCTTGACACCCAAACTTTTTAGACTTAATATTTGGAATACTATTAGCAAGTGTTGGACTTGTATGGCATTTTGAATGTATATGTGTTGAAGCACATGGTAGAATTGGTCTTGGTTGAAAGTACAATGTCTAAATGTAAGTGTTGATGAATTTGGTGAATATAGTTATTTTATGCCTCTAATTACACTTATTAATGATGTTGTTAGATGAATTACATAACATATATCCAATGGGCTTCGGCCAGGAGTGGCCATGAGAAGGGTTTGAAACGTGTTTCAATGTCCTAGCATTTCGCCTATGGTGAGCCTCTTCTCCCATATTCTTACAAATCGAGGAAGCTTTTGACAATAAAAAGTTGGGGGTTTCGAGCTATCAAGGTGATGTCCCACAATGGGTGGTCAGGCAACCCAATTGATATAAGGTTGACTATAAATATGATAATTATCATTAAATTGATGTTCTTACATCATGTTTTCGCTAGTCTAATAGAGTGGGTTGAATTATGATTAAGGGCATGGGAAAATTGATTCCATAGATTGTTGTACCATGTTTTGATGTGGATACTTCTTTGTTTAGGGGACAAAGAAAATATTGGAAAAGAATCAATAGCAAACTCTTCAAGAACTCAAGGCGGGTAACATGTTATCAGGGCCAAACATATTTTAGACCCATGACGAAAGAGGAAAAAAGACCCTTAAAATACACATTTCATTAACCTTTTTATAATAACATAATTGAAAGAAAATTGTTTATACTAGCTCCTAAATACAATATTTTCGATTATAAAAATTCATATATTTAAAGAAAAATAATTCTTCTAGATTTTTTAGATGAAAAATTATTAATGATATCTTCAAGATCAGTCTTTTCTAACATATCAATAATAAAGTCCATAAAAATTTTGGGCCCCTTTAAAAAATGAGCCCTAGATAATCGTCCTTATCGCCCACCTTCTGGGACAGGCCTGTAATGAGGATAGTTCCCTTGAGGAATATGTAAGGACATATTTGAATATACTTATTGTTTGTTTGGATAAATTCATTACATGTTTATTGAAAAATGTATTTATATGTCATGATGGTTTTATTGTTGATAATTGGTGTAAATTGTGATGTATTGAATATACATGAAAACTTAATGTTACTCACTGCTTTATATCTTATGGAATCTTCTATGTAATTAACATGTGTATGTACAAGTGCTAATGACAAAATATAGCTTAGCTCTTTGATGGAACTTGAGACTTAATTAAACATATATTCCATATACATTTATTGTTATAAGATGTACTTGGTTATGCCATTTTATAGTTTTCTTGTAATTATGACATGTATAATAAACACTTGAATGTCCTTTTGTTAATATGAAAGTATGTTTATTGTATAAATGTTGTTTTGAACAGAAAATGTTTTTGTTGTACTTACAATATCAACTAATAATCAAAGCAAGTAAAATAACCACAAATATGCAATAGCAATGCACATTTTAATATTAACCCCACATAAGCCATGCAAGGGTTAATTTATTCAATTTTATACGGGGAACAACTATTATTATTACAATAATAACTCTTTTATATGTGAGCCTTAAAAACCTTGTTCCATCTTCATGCAACCATTTTGAACATCCTCTTTTCTTGGTCGTCTGCTTTATTATAAGTGTCCTCTTGATTACATAAATTAAATAGAAACTTAATCTATTGAATTGCATTAAATAAAGGAAAATGACATACCAAAACCTAAATTTACAACTTAAATATGTTTTATGGTATATGTAACATCCCGAGTCTAGGTGTACTTCAAGAACCTTGATCTATTGAGCTATTGTCATTTTTGGTCCTTATTATAAAAAAGTGAAAAACGAGTACGCAGGGCGTACCTGAGGTGTACGCTTAGCGTACTCGTCGGCGTGCATGTGACGCAGAGACCACCTAGTACGCTGGGCGTACCCGTGAGTACGCTGGGCGTACTAGGCCAAGAGTGCAACCCTAATTTGGGGTGAATCCCCTATATAAGGGATATGATGGCCTCATTTTTGGCCACCATTCCCAGAGAGAAAACCCTAAGAGTGCCCTAACCTCTGTTCTAGAGCTTGTGAGTGTGTGTTTGAGCCTTGAGAGTGTTTGTGTGGTTTTGAAGAGAAGAGAAGGTCTTGAAGAAGGAGGAG